CTTGTTGCAATTAATCAGCCAATATTAGGCAAATACTTGCTCACCTCATTTTCGTCAAACTTGTATTCAGAGCTTCAAAATCATCGCTGTCTGATGAAATCTCAAACACCTCAAAATCAACATGCTTGGTAGTGCTTTGTGTCTTTGCTCTTAACGTGCCTCGCCCCAGTCTACTCTCCGGTATGATGAAAGGACAGGTTGCCTTTGGCGGCTTAAGGGACGCTTCTCGATCTGCGAATTTCTGAGCTTTTTGGTCCTTGGTAGTTTTGCTGCTCAGTAGTGAGTCAATCTTGTGTGGCTTCACTTCGGTTGCCCACCTCCTGTGGGGGGACGTTTCTTCCAGGAGAGCCAGGGATAAACCTGTCGACACAGAGTTGGTGTCTTGTGGTGGATTCAAGGGTGAAGCATTGCTTGGAGTGACATGATTTTCCCGGGTGGAATCGTCAGTAGTGGCCTCAGCCCAAGTCGCTGGTGACAGTCCGACACTGTCAGTTTTGCCCAGATTTTGCCTGTTTGACACTTTGGCAATTTTTGCCTTTGTGGTGATGAGTGCATCTGCATCCTGAGTCGTCAGCTTTCTCTTACGAGAATTGGCAGCCTTCTTACGGCCTTCTCCTGCTGCATTCTTTGCAACCTTGGCCTGTGTCCAACTCTTGCCAATCCCCGGTCGGTGGTTCACTGGACCATTGCTGTGCTTCTCCAGACCAGACTGGGATACTGACCCGCTGAGGCTACTTGGCTCCCGAGAGGGTTCACCCGACACAGCAAGACCTGGAGGTTTGCTGATCGGAAATGGCTCCACAACTGACAAGCTCGGTGCCGCCCCTCCACGAGATGAAGAGTGAGCTGCGTTTTCCAGAGACAGAAAGGCAGTTGAAGTAGAAGCTAGAGAGTTTCTGCAAGGGTCTTGCTCAATGCACGCTGGATGGACTGCTAAAGAGTGTGGGGCTGGTAAGGATGGTCCTGGGGCAGCTTCCCAGAGAAGCTGCAGGCGTCTCGTTCTGATACCTAATGCATCGGCTGAAATCTGTTCAAAAGAGAGCACGTCAAGAGATCATTCAGAGGTATTTCAAACATACTCAGCAATTCCAGCTCACAGAAGCAAAAGACAAGACGCCTCGAAAGGTACAAATACACCGAACGTGTCCAAACTAAATATTCCCAAGAACTTGCAGGCATGCTCTCACCTTATTTTTCTGATCCTTCAGTTTCTTGAACAGCAGCTGCTTCTGCCGGATGAGCTCCTTGATGGTCTTCATGCGCTTGTCCACTGTGCCAAGCTCTTTATGAAGCAGCTCCTCCTGGAGAGACAGCTCCAGCAGGGCTTCTTGAAGATCCTTTCCTCCAGCTGGGGTCCTTTTCAGAGGTGATTTCAGAGGGAGTTTCCCTTGTGCCGGCCCCTTCCTTGTAGGTGCTGTCTGCGGACAAAGGGGTGTCATTTCCGAACCGCTTAGGACTGCAACTGGCTGTGGTTTTACAAGAATTAAAAGAATGCATTGTAGGTATTGACAACTAAGATACTGTCTACCTGAAAACAGGCCACAGCTATCCTGATATGCCAACATTTGCTCAGTTTTGCTGCCAGTTTAATCTCATGTTTTAAATGTCAAACAAAAACAAGACTGTACCACCTGCACGTGGTATGCGTGGCCCAGCCACGGCCTTTGTGACTGATTTTATCCTTCAAAGTTTGCCATATAGACTGCCCAGCGTATAAGCCGCGGAGATATTTTTTAGTGTGAGAATCAATGCATAAGCCACAGCTTATATTCTGAAAATTATGCTACTCTACAAAAAATTTCGTTTTGTTCTAGCAATCAAGTCATCTTTCTCATTTCCAGTGCTGGTCAAATTACACATAGCTAAGAAGCGTTCTCATCCTTTTTAACACATTTAATGCAAAAATAAGTCTGACAGTTAATAAAAAAACATGCATATCGAGAGGCAGATTGGCTACCCAGGAACTAATATACAATGAATTTATCTTTCGGCGAAAATTAACACGAGAGAAAATAAGAGGCATTTTGTGTCCACATGTACAGCATACAGTATCGTATTACAGCATCAAACAGAATGATGGAAGAAAACACAGGTAGGTAACTTGTTTCGGACAAAACGTTGTGACAAGGTCCATGGAAGGCCCACAAAAACATTATTCACGAGTTGCCAAGATACGTAGATGTACTTCTACAGGTACTTCCATTGAGGGGAACAGTAAAACTTACCATTCCCAACTGTAGATCTGGGACTGCTATTATGCTGATGGTCCCTCCTTGGCCAGCATCTGTACTAACGGGTTCCCCTGCCTCCGTCGATGCATTCAATGTTGACAATCCTTGTACTGGCAAGGAAGGATTCGTGGCTGCAGCGGAGTTGAGCATTTCCTCTGAGTTGACAGCGCCGCTCTCGCTCTGTTCGACTGACTGTACCCATGATGCATTGTGCTGGTCAGTGACAGTTGCTATGGAGATGGGGATCATTTCGTGAGGTGCTCCCTTACTTATTTCATTGGTGTCGGTGTTTGGCTCGGTTTTGATGGTCACATCCACGATCAGAGAAGAGGAGAACTCTGGACCATTTGGTTTAGCTTGTGTTTTGTCTCTCATGTCTTCTGCTTCTGGAGGAGTTGCTATGTCTTCTGCTTCCGGAGGAGTTGCTATGGTGTTGGAGGCAGAGACGTGTGACTGTACAGTCCCAGCAAAATTGTCGTTTTCACGCGCCAACGTTGATGAGGTTGTAAACTGATTTTCTTTAGATGATACGGTGGACTGGATGGATGCCAAAATGGCTTCTTTGGAGTCCACGAGTTCCAAACCTTGAGTCCAGTCATGAGTTGTTCCATCAATGCTGTCAGTGTTTGGTTCAGTTTTGATGGTCACGTCCATGATCGGAGCAGAAGAGTACTCAGGGCCACTTGGTTTACCCTGTGTTTTGGCACTCCCACTGTGTTCCACTGTGGCTTTGCCTTGGACCACTGCTGCTTCAGATGGTGGTTTCAGTAAAGAAGGGCACGCAGGAAGAGCTGCTAGGGTGTTAGAGGCAAACATATCTGACTGTGTAACCTCGTTAAAATTCACGTTTTCATGCACCAATGTAGATGAGGTTGTGAGTGGATTTTCTTTCTCTTTGGATACAGTGGACTGGATCGATGCCAGAGCAGCTTCTTTAGAGTCCACGAATTCAAAACCCAAAGCCCAGTTATTAGGCGTTTCAGCACTGACTTTGTTGCTTCCACTGTTTGGCTCAGTTCTGAGGGTAACATCCTGAAATGGAATGGTGGACCTCTCTGAGCTATTTGATTTGCCTTTTGTTGAAGCTTTTCCTCTGTACTCCAACATCATTTGATTTTTAACGGCTTCAGCTGAAGCACCTTCTTCTTGTCTATGCAAAGGGGACTGAGTTGAAGATCTGGCTGAGATGCCAGACGTAGTTTTAAGTGACTTTGAAGCCTTATTAGAAGCTACATGTACATCATCGTGTCTTGTTACATGAACCTGTTGTGATGAGGTAGACTGAATGAGTGCCTGAACTGCTGCTTTTGAATCAGAACATTCAGGATCTGTTGTTGATGGCATTGAGGGTTTCTGATCAAGTGTTCCAGTAATGCTGCCATTCTGTGTCTTTTTGTTGTCTGGGAGAAGCTGCTCATGACGAGCTGAGGTGCTGCTTGTTGAAGCATCTTCAGAGAGCAGAGGCTTCAACTGCCCTGTCTGCAGCAAAGATTCGAGGAACTGCAGCGACAAATGGACCTCCTGGGGCTGTTGACTGGCAAACCTGGCCCTCTCGCTACCCTTCTTGGAGGCCTGCACCAGACGCTGGAGCTCCTCGACCTGCTGCAGCTTCCGATGCTGGGACTTGGGTGAGTCCAGGAGCTTCATAAGCAGCTGCTGCACCATCCTGTCAGGGGAGTCCACCACCTTGGCCTGGTGGTGCTCGCCGGCGTGGAGCCGGCTGCGGGCGGTGGCCAGGTTGGGACGGGGCGTGGACCCTTGGCTTTTGGCCAGCAATTTGGTCAATTCCCGCTGCAGGCTTGGTGGCAGCTGGATCCTGGTGACACTGGCTTCTTCGTCAAAGCTTTCCGTGGGATATGATGCAGGCTGTTCGCTGACAGCAGCAGGACCACTGCTAGACAAATTACTAATTGACTCCTTACCAAAGGGATCAGAGTCTGTTCTAGGGAGCTTCAGTCTAGTCACCTCAGGAGGAGATTTCAGGACAGTGGAGGTACTTGGCAATGAATCAGACCTCTGTAGAGTGATTGGATTTTTGCTGGTTTCTTTCTTTTTAATAATTGAATATGCAGCAGCTCCTTTGAGACACTCATCTTGGTCCTCAGCAGAGCTGTTGTCTCCTTTGTCAGATGCCTTGTCCTGTCCCGGTTTGTCTCTCTGTGGATGGCAACTTGCTGAAATGTCCCATTCCCTCTTAGCTGAGAAAGCAGTAGCTGACTTACTCTCAACAGATATTTTGGTTGTAGTTTGATCTGATGGAGCGAGTTGGTCTGGTTTGGAGCACAATGCCATTGTTTCAGTACCTGCATCGGCTGGTTTACTGGAGGCAGGTTGACCATCTCCATGGCAACTAGCTGCATGGGACTGTCTAGAGCCTGAGGAAGCAGTTTTAGCAACAGGTTTTGAATTGTGGTTCAATGAAGGCTTTGCCGAAGGCTGCTCTCTGCTCATACTAGTGTTGGGGTTTGACTTGGCTTCTAATTCCGTCTTGTTTTTGCTGGATACATTTTGGCTTTTCAATTTAATGACCAACTTACTCCTGGCAGCAGACTTCTGTTCTGCAAGGTGCTTTCCTGGCAACTCTGGACCTCTTTGGGTTATGCGTGACACTGTATTCTCAGAGTTATTGGGCCTGCTCGACAAGTAATTAACACTGTCGTGGGAGAACTGATGACTGCTCATGGGGGTCCACGTTCTATTTCCACAGTAAATGTTGTTTCGACCATTCCCGCAGTTCCACTGCCGGGCCGAGGAGAGTTTGAAACTCTGGTGAATGTTGGAGTCGTCAACGTAGTTGTCTCCCCACAGGCTGAAACGGCTGAACTTCTGTGGTGATTGTACTGGCCAACGTGACCACGAATGTGGGTGGTTGGGGACAAGTTCATTACATGAGCCTGAAAAAGACCATAGCTGATTGTGTATGTTGAAACTCAATGAAAATAAGACCCCCCTCTAAAAATTGAAGATGGCTAGAGCTACAGCATCCTAGTCGAAACGTCGAATTAACACTCAATTCTTTTCAGAACCCCATCTCTTCTTGAAGAGATAGATCCCAGGGTGTATCATTACATCTACAAATACTTGCTGTACCATGCCCCCCCCCCAGGTCGATTCCCATAAAAGCCAGGTATAGGCCTACCGAAGGGTAAGCTGAACTACATGATGCCTGGAAAATGGCTATTTTGTTCAAAACTGCTCCTGTCCCATTTAAACAAATTCCAAACAAATGAATATCCAAGAGAAGAAAAGGTCAGTTCCATCATTTTTGTTAATGTCACCCATCACAGTTTTATTGATGCAAAGGGCTTATGTATAAACAACGGGCCCCAATCCATACTCAAAAAAGTTTCTTTGTTTGGAATACAACCATTGTACTCTTGGCAAAGAAATTCCAAATGCAGGCATTTAAAGATTTTTTTTTACAAACATACAAGACAAAAATGGGGGTAGAAGTTGAGGCCTTCACCCCCCCTCTGTGGTACTGAATTTGTCTTTATTATTGTAGTTGAGATCAATTGCATGTAAAAACCATCACAAGGCCTCCAGTCCCAATGCAAGTCACAAGCTATTGAAATGAACAGCAGCAAGAAAGCATTCCTTTGTCAGTGTTCACCAATTACTTCTGTGGTCTTGGTCCTGTGTCTGGTCTTGTGATTATGGGATGGTTTCCATCACAAACACTGTTTGACAATGTTAAGGCTCCCTCATTTCCCACACCATCTGTCACCCATCTTGTGTTCAGTCCATCACAAGTTCTCTCACAAGTTCCTTCACAAGTCCAGTCACAAGTCCATATGCAGCAAAGGTATGAGACGGAGAGAACCCCCCCCTGATT